GGCCTGCTGTGTTCATCCAGCTCCACACTGTGTTATGTCTGTCTATCTCCCGTGCGCTCTCACCTATACTCTCACTCACTGTCAAAATACTCACACTGTCACACTCTTTCACACACTCACTCTCTCTCACTCACTCTCTCTCAAAACTCACACTCTTTTGCACATTCTCTCTCAACCACTGCTCTGAAAATACTCACTTCCTTACACCTTCTTGTACACTCACTCTCACTTCATACTCACTCACTTACCCTCTCACTCACTCTCTCTGAAAATGCCCACTTCCTCACTCTCTTTTTCACTAACTCACTCGCTTGTGCAGTCTCTCTCAGACTCACTGTGGTGGGGGGTAGCTCTTTGCAGCCAGAATGTGGCATGGAAACGGGCCCTGGCAGGGGGCTGGGGTGCGTGGTCATGGTGGAAGAGCCATTTGCAGCCATATCAAACTGAGCAGCAGAGCAGGCTCCTGCAATCTCTGACAGAGCCACACAGGATACATGCTGCGGGCAAGAAAGAAAGGAGGGAATACCATGGATACTGTTACCCCCCCTAATCGGCCAATGATTGCCTGTTGTTCAGAATAACAGCAATCATTGGCAGATGAGCCTGTTCTTGGGGACAGTCTGTACTAGATTGGCTGCCCTGAGCCTTGACCATCCCAATTGGCAGAGTACATGCCAATCATCCACCTTGCACTGGCGGATGTTAACTATTTGAAACCATCTGGGATAGTAACAGCATAGAGGGCAGATAGGGAAAAGCTCTGAAGTATGTTGAGAGATATTCTCCTGAGGATGGTGTCTCTGGTCCAGTGAGGAACGGACATGATCCTGGATAATGCGTAGGGGGAACAGCGAGTATATTACAACCAATTGCTGGAGAAGCTCAGCAGGTCTGGCAGCCTCTGTGGAGAGAGAAACAGAGTTAAGTGTTTTGGCTCCAATCACTACGAGTTCTGAAGAAGGGTCACTAGACTCGAATCAAGCGGGTGCTGCTTTGTCCTGGATGGTGTCGAGCTTCTTCAGTGTTGTTGGGTCTGCACTCATCCAGGCCAGTGGGGAGTATCCCATCACACTCCTGACTTAATGGTGGACCTGGGCTGAAAGGAATGTCCATGATTCATCATTTCTCATAATTTTTTTCATCTTTAGAGTCCATTTTACCCACTTTATTAGAAGAAGGATTTAGAAAATGGGGAGATGACGGTGCAGTGATAATGTCATTAGGGTTAGTAATCCAGATGCCCAGGCCAATGTACTAGGTACGTTGGTTCAAATCCCACTGTGGCAAATGGTGAAATTTGAATTCAATAAAATTCCAGAATTAAAAGCTAGCCTAATGACATCCAAAGTCAATTGTCATAAAAACTCATCTGGTTTACCAGTGCTTTTTAGGGAAAGAAATCTGCCATCCTTACCTGGTCTGGCCTACATGTAACTCCAGACCCATAGACAATGTGGTTGACTCTTAACTGCCCCCTGAAAGCCAATCAGATCAAGAGCAGTTAGGAATGGATGACAAATACTGGCCAAGCTAGTGCCAGCCCCATCCTGTAAAGGAAATGTAAATAGAGCCACCATAAGGCAGATGTGGGGGTGGGTTAGCTCAGTTGGTTGGATGGCTTGTTTGCAATAGAAAGAGATGCCTGGAGCTTAGGTTCAATTCTCACACTGTCTGTGGTTACCATGAAGGACTCTCCTTCTCAACCGCTCCCCTTTACCTGAAGCACGGGGACCCTTAGGTTAAACCACCCCTGTCATCTCTCTCTCTCTCTCTCTCGTGAGAGAGCAGCCCTGTGGCCCTCTGGGATTATGGCGTCTTAACCCTTTAAGAGAGGTGACACTGACTGCTTTGAACACTGCAGTTAATGCTTCCTATGTTTGGATTCACAGTCTCCTTCAGACTCGGTCTCGAGATTAAAATCAGGGATTCCCAGGGATGGTGATGAGCATCGAGAACCACCTCATCCCTTGCAACACCCACGCCAAGGTAACAGATTGGGTCTCATCGCTCGGAAATGTAAATGTTATTGCACGTGCTGACTCCAGTTAGAAGGAGGATGGAGGGTCGCGTGGAAGGTGGAAAATAATGCTTCAGCTGTACAGAACTTTGATCAGAATCCAACCTGGGGGTTAACTGCGTTGGGTTATGGCCCCTTCAGCTCAGAAAGCATGGATCCCATGAAGTGAATAAAAATAAATCCAGTCTAAGGGACTGCAACCCTTAAATGACACCAGACCGTTCTGAGGTGATATCAAGGGACAGCTGTACACCCCAGGGATAGCGGAAATCTGGAACAGTGTCTGCAGGAAAACAATGTAGGTGCTGGGGCTTTCAAATCTGAGATCACTATCATGCAGCATTGCTCAGTGCATCTACAAACCCTGTTATATTCTCACCACTGGATCCCACAGTGCAGTATCTCAAAACCCTCTGGGGACCAGTTAGCTCAGTTGGTTGTATGGCTGGTTTATCATGTAGACAATTTGGGTTTGATCCCCTCACCAGCTGACATTACCTTATCTTCTGATCCTCTCCCCTTGCCTGAAGGGGATGACCCTTGGGTTAAACCACCAGCAGCCATCTCTCTCTCTAATGAGAGAGCAGCTCTGTTGTCTGGTAAGAATATGGCAATTTGATTTGGCCTAAAACTCCGTTATATTGTAACCACTGGATTCCACAGACCACTGACTGGTTGATAACCTTCCTTTTGACCATCAAAGTGATCAGTTGATTCCAGTTTGAAGCTAGGTTGGGTGGAGTAGCTCTCCGGTGAGATTGACAGGGGGAGCGAACAATGAGAAGGGACCCGTGCGAAATTTCATGCGTTCAGGAGAAAGCAGATCACCAACACGCAGACAGATAATTGCTCAGGAAAATGTGTGTAATATAGCCCAGTTGGCAATGTAAGTTGGCAGAAACTTGAAAGGATCACCCGTGGAAATTGAGAATCAGAATTCCCTCACGCATTTATCCTTGATCTCTCACTCACAGCTGGATGACAGGCAGCGTTGGGCTCCCTCTGCTGGTGTTACCAGTCACCTCGGTGGGTGGTGGAGGTTTACAGCTGTACAAGAAGATCACGAATCCTGGGGCAACACACACTTTTACCAGCATGTAACCTAGAGCCAGGTACCGCGGTGGCCCAGGCTCCAATGTTCTTTGGCCACACAAGTGACCAGGAATCTCCCCCATCCGTATCAACCTGCTGCTAGTGTGAATTGAACGGATTTACAAGTTTGTTTGGTCATGTTGCAATGTACCTTCCTTGACTATCAAGTCCTGGAGTGGGACCTGAACTTGAACCTTTGAGTTGAGACGCAGGTACTGCACCACAAGACCTCACCATCATCAATGACCACCTTAGCTCAGGCATGGACCAGGGTCATCCCTCACTTCCTTTTTAGATTTGTTCACAGGATGTGGGTCTTGCTGCCCGTCCTTCATTGCCCTGGAGAAGGTGGTAGTGAGCTGCCTGCTTGGCCCTGTGCAGCCATAGACTCATAGAAGTTTACAACACAGAAAAAGGCTCTTTAGCCCATCAACTCCATGCCAGTCAATAACAACTAACTATTCTATGTTGATAAAATGTGGAGCTGGAGGAACACAGCAGGTCAGGCAGCATCCGAGGAGCAGAAAAGTTGATGTTTCGGGTTGGGACCCTTCTTCAGGACTATTCTATTCCCATTTTCCAGCACTTAGCCCATGGTCTTGTATGTCTTGGCATCACAAGTGCACATCCAAATAGCTCTTCAATGTTCTGAGGATTTATGCCTCTATCAGCCTCACAGACAGATTCCCAGCGTCCTCTGGGTGAAATAAAAATTTCTCACAATGCCTATAAATTTGCCCCTTACCTTAAACCTCGACCTCCTGGTCATTAATCCCTCTCCTCCAAGGGGAAAGGTTTCTTCCTGTCCACCCTGTCTATGACCCTCATTATTTCTCCATCTCAATCATGTCCTTAAGACTATAAGACCATAAAACTTCGGAGCAGAAATTAGGCCTATCAGCCCATTGAGTCTGCTCTGCCATTCAATCATGGCTGATAAATTCCTCAACCCCATTCTCCCGCTTTCTCCCCGTAACCCTTGATCCCCTTGATAATCAAGAACCTATCTATCTCAGTCTTAAATGCACTCAATGACCCGGCCTCCACAGCCTTCTGTGGCAGTGAATTCCATAGATTCACCACTCTTTGGCTGAAGAAGTTTCTCCTTATCTCCATTCTAAAAGGTCTTCCCTTTACTCTAAGGCTGTGCCCTCGGGTCCTAGTTTCTCCTACCAATGGAAGCATCTTCCCAACATCCACTTTGTCCAGGCCATTCAGAATTCTGTAAGTTTCAATTAGATCCCTCCTCATTCTTCTAAACTCCAACGAGTATAGTCCCAGAGTCCTCAAAAGTTCCTTATATGTTAGGCTTTCCATTCCTGGGACCATTCTTGTGAACCTCCTCTGAACCCGCTCCAGGGCCAGTACATCCTTCCTGAGATATGGGGCCCAAAACTGCACACAATACTCCAAATTTGGCCTAACCACAGCCTTATAAAGCCTCAGTAGTACATCCCTGCTTTTATATTCAAGTCCTCTCAAAATAAATGCCAACATTGCATTTGCCTTCCTGCCTACTGACTCAACCTGCAAGTTTACCTTGAGAGAATCCTGGACCAGAACTCCCAAGTCTCTTTGCACTTCAGACTTCTGAATTTTCTCCCCATTTAGAAAATAGTCCATGCTTTTATTTTCCTTACCAAAGTGCATGACCTCACACTTTCCCACGTTGTACTCCATCTGCCACTTCTCTGCCCACTCTGCTAACCTGTCCAAGTCCTTCTGCAGCCTCCCCACCTCCTCAATACTACCTGTCCCTCCACCTATCTTTGTATCGTCTGCAAACTTAGCCAGAATGCCCACAGTTCCTTCATCTAGATCATTAATGTACAAAGTGAAAACACTGATCCTTGTCACCAGCTGTCATCCTGAGAAAGACCCTTTTATCCCCAGTCTCTGCTTTCTGCCAGACAGCCAATCTTCTATCCATGCTAGCACCTTGCCTCTAACACCATGGGCCCTTATCTTACTCAGCAGCCTCCTGTGTGGCACCTTATCAAAGGCCTTCTTGATGTCCAGGTAGATAACATCCATTGGCTCTCCTTGGTCTACCCTGCTCATTACTTCCTCAAAGAATTTTAGCAGATTTGTCAGGCATGACCTCCCCTTGATGAAACCATGCTGACTTTGCCCTATTTTACTATATATTTCCAAATATTCAGACATCTCATTCTTTACAATGGATTCCAAAATCTTACCCAAGACTGAGGTTAGGCTAATCGGCCTGTAATTTTCCATCTTTTGCTTTACTCCTTTTTAAGCAGGGGTGTCACGTTAGCGATTTTCCAGTTCTCTGGGACCCTCCCTGACTCTAGCGAATCCTGAAAGATCACCACTAACGCTTCCACTATCTCTTCAGCTATCTCCTTTAGAACTCTGAGGTGTAGTCCATCTGATCCAGGTGATTTATCCACCTTCAGGCCAATCAGTTTTACTAGCACCTTTTCCTTGGTGATGGCCACCATACTCAGCTCTGTCCCCTGACTGTCTTGAAGTTTTGGGAGATTACTCGTGTCTTCCACCGTGAAGACTGATGTGAAGTAATTATTCAGTTCCTCAGCCATTTCCTTGTTCCCCACTACCATCTCTCCAGTGTCGTTTTCCAGTGGTCCAATGTCCACTTTTACCTCTCTTTTGCCCTTTATATACCTAAAGAAACTCTTACAGTCTTCATTTATATCATGGGCTAGCTTACCCTTGTATTTAATCTTCTCCCTCCTTATTTCTTTTTTTGTTGCCCTCTGTTGGTCTTTGTAAGCTTCCCAGTCCTCTGGTTTCCCACTGCCCTTCACCACATTATATGCTTTCTCTTTTGCTTTTATGCTATCCCTGATTTCCTTAGTCAGCCATGATCTCATCCTCCCTGTACCATGCTTCTTTTTCCTAGGGATGAATTTTTGCTGCGTCTCCTGAATTACTCCCAGAAACTCCTGCCATTACTGTTCCACCGTCTTTCCTGCTAGGCTCCTCTTCCAGTCAATTCTGCCCAGCTCCTTCCTCATACCTCCGTAGTCGCCCCCCTGAGGGGAGTCACAATTCTGCACATGCTTCTACAAGGGCCATTGTAGAACACACCACAAGGATCCTGCTGGTGAGATTCAGATACCTGGTCCAGTCAGCCTGTGCAATGCAATAAACGCCCAGGCAGAGTTTCCCACAGTATACAGAGACAATAAGGACTGTAGATGCTGGAAGCCAGAGTCTGTAGGCTCCTCCCTCATACCATTACCCCTGATTCTATCTTCTCCCTCTCAAATTGCAGTGTAAATTCTGTCATATTATGGTCACTGCCTCCTAAGGTTTCCTTCACCTTAAGGTCCCTTATCAAATCTGCCTCATTGCTCTGGATTACTAGGTCATTGATATTGCTAAAACACCACCATGGCGCCTTATAGGATGTCCTTGTCTCTGACCTTCGCTGCGGTCGCTGCTTTCCTTCTTGTTGACTTCGAAACAACTCAAGGCTGTTCCACAGCCCTGACTGCTAGGAGTCATAGAGTCATACGGCACGGAAACAGACCCTTCGGTCCAACTCATTCATGCTGACAGCACTTCTTCGTAAATAAGGGGAAATTGCTTGCTGTTACAGGAGGGTCAGTAACCCAGACGTAACAGATAATCAACAAAACAAATGGAGGGAGATGAGAGGAATATGCAGCAAGTTATTTGATTGGGCACTCACTGTCTGAAAGGCTGGTGGAAGTAGATTCACCAATTACTGGCTGCAGAGAATCAGAGGCATAGTTGCAAAGGAAAAGCAATTGCAGAGATAAAGTTCGGGAATGGGACTAATTGGATAACTATTTTGAAGACATGGCACGAGCGGAGAGATTGGAGATTGGGAGAATTTAGCAGTGACTTGTTGGAAAAATGGAGAATCCTGAGATGGTGGATGTTGGGAGGCTGTTTCCTCTTGTGGGAGAATTTAAAACTAGGGGTCATTGTCTAAAACAGAGATTCTGCTTCTTCCCTCAGGGGATTATGAGTTTTTGGGGCTTTTTGTAAAATAAAATAGATATTAACGATGTCAAAGAATATAAGCATCAATGACTTTGAGGCTAAAGATCAGCTGATGGAACAGTGCGGCAGGTTCGAGGGACTGAGCGGCCTACTCCCATCCATATTTCCCATGTTCTTGTCTCTTTAGTCTTCAGTGTTTGATTAAGAGCCTCAGTATGACATGCTTGCCTTTATTGGTTGGGGAATTGAGTACAAGAGTCAGGATGTCATGTTGCAGTTTTATGGGACTTTGATTAGGCCGCACTGAAAGTATTGCGTTCAATTCTGGTCACCACATTACAGGAAGGATGTGGAGACTTTGGAGAAAGTGCAGAAGAGATTTACCAGGAAGCTCCCTGGACTAGGGGTTTTGAACTATAAGGAGAGGCTGGAAATACTCATGCTGCTTTCTCTGGAATGACGGATGCTGAGGGGAGACTTGATAGAAGTCTATAAAATTATGAAATGCATAGATAGAGTTGACAGTCAGAATCTTTTACCCAGAGTTGAAATGTCTGATTCTAGGGGGCATGCATTTAAGGTGAGAGGGGGAACGTTCAAAAGAGATGTGAGGGGCAAGTTATTTACACAGAGAGTGGTGGGAGTCTGGAACACACTGACAGGGTTGTGGTGGAGGCAAATACAATAGGAGTATTTAAGGGATTTTTAGATAAACACATGAATATATAAGGAATGGAGGGATATGGACCAAGGACAGGCAGAAGGGATTAGTTTCATTTGGCATCATGTCTGGTACAACATTGTTGGCCAAAGGGCCCGTTCCTGTGCTGTACTGTTCTATGTTCTATGAGCTCAGGTGGGAGTAATGGGCTCTGCAGGGATTAGATAGTATTTAAAGTTGATAACCAAACTAATGCTAATTGAATTTCTTCAGTGTTCACAGTTAATGGGTGGCCCTGCATGTTTCCTTTCCGATTTGCAAGCAAACTGCATCGTACCTGTATACTGCACAGGATGACAAATAGAAAATGGTGAGTAAGATTTTCCTGCTTTACCAGCTCTTACAACTAAAATCAAGGTGACTAAGGTAGTCAGGAGTGGGCCACCCTTCAGAGCATGGTCCAACTCCAGGAGTGCTTCACACCTTAGCTATAATCCTTCTCTTTTCCGATTTCCGAGGGGAGGTCAACAGATGGCCGATAGGTTTAAGCTTCCTTCCTAAACACCTCATGAAGCTGAATCCTGGTAAATTCAGCACCTTGGACTGATCCTCTTGGCCAGGGGGGGTCAGTCAATAATCAGGTAAATCCATCGAGTGACTCCTACTCCTCACAGATCCCCCTCAGACGCCAATCAGTTGAGGTGAGGTCTTTGACCTGTGAGTGGTGACTACATTTCCCACTTTCTCCCAGGACAGATTTACTGCCAGTTTTCCTGCCTGACGTTACCCGACTTTACAAAGAGTAATTGGAATCCCTTCATAGAGCCGGTGCACTTTTTTCTGGAGCGGAGGGGGTTATTTGGGTCTCATCTTCTTCAGTTGCACAAAGGGTGTCAGAATTCTGAGAACGAGGTGGGAGAGCAGTGGACAACGACTAGACAAGAGTACAAATACAGAAGGTCTTGACTTTTACTGTGAAAGGGACGGAACTTCATTTCTCCCGAATATGACAATTTCCAGTTCAGAAACGATAACCAGAGAGAAGTGGAGATTTTCGTGGGCACTCACTATGCTGTTGGTTCACTGCCTGTGTCCTTAGTTACAGCATGTCCCAGTCACCCTGTCCTTAATGACCTTGTTATGAAGATGCCCCATATTTACTACTTAAGTTTTGAAGAATTGTGGAAAAATTGGTTTACGTGAAGTTTTGTAGAAACCCAGGTGTGATTTATTTGGTAGAAGTCATTGATAGGTCACTGTAGACATTTGAGTTTTTTATTAAAGAAAGCTTCCCGCAAATAATATGATGAATGATAACTCATGATGTAGACCCTTAATAGTTTGATTTGGTTTGATTTATTACTGTCATATATACCGAGGTACAGTGAAAGGTGTTGTCTTATGTGCTTTACAGGCAGATCGCACTGTACAAATGCATCAGGGTAAGAGAGCAGATGCAGGGTGTAGAGTTACAGTTGCTGAGAAGGTGCAGAGACTGATCGCTATTAATATTAAAGGGGTCCATTCAAAAGTCTGATAACAGCGGGGAAGAAGCTGTTCTTGAATCTGTTTGTATGAGTATACAAACTTTCATATCTTCTGCCCGATAGAAGAGAGTGGAAGACAGTATAACCGGGATGGGAGGGGTCATTGATTATGTTGGGTGCTTTCACCAAGGCAGCAGGAAGTATGGGTGGTTTCAACGGAAGGAAAGCTAATTTGTGTGATGGACTGGGCTGGGCTCACGACTCTCTGTGGTTTCTTACGGTCATGGGAAGAGCAGTTGTCATACTAAGCTGTGATGCACCCAGGTAGGATGCTTTCTATGTTGCATCTATAAAAAACTGTAAGAGTCTTTATGGACATACTGAATTTCCTTAGCCTCCTGAGGAAGTGGTGGCATTGATGTGCTTTCTTGACTGACAGCTCTGTCTTGAACAGTGAGTGGGTGGAGGGTGCTTCCGTATCTGGTATCAAGTGGGGGATAAAAATTGCGAAGGCCTGTCCAGCTGATCTCTCCCATTTCCTCTTGCTGAGTTCACGGTGAAATCTGATTATTTTTCTGGGAAACTGAATGAAGAAATTTCTCAATATTGTATTTCCTAAGCAAACACTGAACAGCAGAACAGCAGACTTCCGAATAGTCTACATTTTATCCATTGCTGCCAAAATGTGAGAGGTTGGAAAAGCACAGCATACTGTCTGACCTGCTGTACTATTCCAGCCTTGCCCCTATAGGCTCTGGTTTCCAGCATCTGCAGTCCTTATTGTCTCCAGCTGCCAAAAAGTGTTTTTAAGTTATTTCAGAAAGTGAATCCCTGTAGACAGAGAAATACCTTTTTTGTTCTTTTCCTGAAGTGTGTGTGTGTGCATGTGTTTTGGGTTATTGAGAGGATAAACATTTATATTTCTGACAGTGTATTGTTATGACTGTTATAGGAGGAGTGAATTGATAATCAAATCAGAATAATTAACCAATCATGCCATTGGTCATAGGGTCACACAGCCCAGAGAGATCCTTCAGCCCATTGGGTCTGCTTCGACCTATCTACACTAATCTTACTTTCCTATATCCTTGAATGTTATGACATTTCAAATACTCACCCAATTACTTTTTAACGGTTGTGATGTTTCCCGCTTCAATTACCCTCCCAAACAGGTTCCCACCAGCAGAGATTCACCTGCACTTCATCTAATCTCATCTACTGTATCCATTGCTCCCGATGTGGTTTCTTGTATATCAGGGAGACCAAACGCAGATTCGGGGCTAGTTTGTGGATCATGTCCGCTCTGCAGCACCAACCAGCCCGACCTTCCGGTTGTCATTCACTTTAACTCCCCCTTCCCATTCCCCTGGTGACATGTCCATCCTTGGCCTCCTCCACTGTCAGAGTGAGGCCAAACATAAACTGGAGGAACAATACTTCATATTTCACTTTGGGAGCTTACAGCCCAAGGGCCTTCACCAGCTTCAAAATCTCCTCTTTCCCAACCTGTCCATCTTCCTACTCACCTATTTGCTCGACCCTTCCCACTGACCAACCACAATAACCCCCTACCTCCATCCACCTATCTCTGTCTCACCTACCCTTCCCCCAGCCCCATCTCCCTCCCTCTATTTATTTCTGGGCTCCCCTCCCCCTCCCCTGTCCTGACTAAGTGTTTCGGTTCAAAATGTTGACTTTCCTGCTCCTCGGATGCTGTCTGACCTGCTGTGCTTTTCTGGCTCCACATTTATTGACTCTAGCTTCCAGCATCTGCAGTCCTTACTGTCTCCAGATTCCCACCACCCTCTGGGTGAAAAGGTTTCTATTCCTCAAATCCCCTGTTTCACCTTTTAAGTATAAATGTGTTGATTCAATTAACAAAATGGCTCAATGTTTCTCTTTTTGTAGTACTTTCCAGCATAAAAGGAATGTTTGCTGGGCTTCTTTAATGAAATCAAAATAATTTGTTTATTCTAAACAAAATATATTCTTAAAGCAAGTGGTAAACACTAGTTAACAGGCAGGCCATGATCCAGATTAAAAACTATATTCCCTTAATCCCACACGCAGACACACTCACACAATAAGAACATAGAACATAGAACATTACAGCGCAGTACAGGCCCTTCGGCCCTCGATGTTGCGCCGACCTGTGAAACCAATCTGAAGCCCATTTAACCTAAACTATTCCATTATCAGCCATACGTTTATCCAATGACCATTTAAATGTCCTTAAAGTTGGCGAGTCTACTACTTTTGCAGGCAGGGCATTCCACGCCCTTACTACTCTCTGAGTAAAGAATCTGCCTCTGACATCTGTCCTATATCTATCACCCCTCAATTTAAAGCTATGTCCCCTCATGCTAGCCATCACCATCCGAGGAAAAAGGCTCCCACTGTCCACCCTATCTAATCCTCTGATCATCTTGTATGTCTCTATTAAGTCACCTCTTAACCTTCTTCTCTCTAACGAAAACAGCCTCAAGTCCCTCAGCCTTTCCTCATAAGACCTTCCCTCCATACCAGGCAACATCCTGGTAAATCTCCTCTGCACCCTTTCCAATGCTTCCACATCCTTCCTATAATGCGGTGACCAGAACTGTACGCAATATTCCAAGTGCGGCCGCACCAGAGTTTTGTACAGCTGCAACATGACCTCATGGCTCCGAAACTCAATCCCTCTACCAATAAAACCTAACACACCGTACGCCTTCTTAACAACGCTATCAATATGAAAACATAAGCCTCTGCAGAGCTGATGGTTTAAAAAAGAAGAAAAGCAAAAGGGGGAGAAACATCTTACTGGCCCAGAGTCTGGAAATTAAGGATAGAATCTGATGACTTCTCATATCCACTGGATTTCCTGTTGATGATGCTGAATTGCTGACAGCTGTAGATTAATGGTAAACATTATGTTCTGATTGCAATCAACTTAGATTCAAGTCTTTGAGAATTGATAACAATCCACATCTTCAGGTTTTATTCGATAGACAGAAATACTGGTCTTTGAAGGGTCTATTAGGTTCCCAGGAATGTCTATTGAGAAAAAGATTTCCAGGTTTTAAGAGAGAGTCTTACAGTTTCTGGTGTGTCTCCTTTGCGGTTTCTAGAGTCCAGTTTGGATTTCCAGGCCAAAATTAGCATTAATGCTCTCAAGCCTTTTCAAAGCCATGTTTTCAGAGACATAGCATTTTTAAAGCATGAGGAGAGGCCCTTCAGCCCATTGTGTCTCTACTAGTCATCAGACATCCATCTACTCTAATCCCATTTAGCACTTGGCTTCATATGCTATGGCGCTTTAGGTGTTCATCTAAATGGCTCTTAATTTTCTTGAGGGTTCCCAATTCAACAGTCATTTTGGGCAGTGAGTTCCAGATACTCACCTGCCTCTGAGTGAAAAGCCTCCATCTCAAATCCCCTCTGAGTAGCCTATTCCTTCCCTTAAAATTGTTGGTCCTCATTATTGACACCTCTACAAATGTAATTGCTACTTTTCCAGTAATTGAGGAAATAAACCACGTTTCCTAACTCCTTAAAAGCTTTGCTTGGCTGTTTACCCCAAGATTGCTTGATTTCCTATGAACGGCAGATAACTTGCTGCATACATTAAATTTTTGATTTTAGTTTCCGATAAAACACATCGTAATACCCTTATCAACCCATAAATTATCCAATTAGTTCAAATTCTTCTGGCTTTTCCAGGCGCTCTTCTAATATGTGTATTCCCAACAGCATATTAACCAGTTATTACATCTTCCTTGAATAAGTTTTGTTTTGATAATTGCATTTATTAATGGAACCTGGTTGATAGATCTTTTTATTTCAAACTGAACATAGGTAAGTTAGTTAATTGGCCATCTCGATTATGGGGAAAGCTATTTGTTACTTTGTGTTTTGATCCTTGGAATTGTCGGACAGAGAACAGTGCACTCCCCCAGCCTCAGTTGTAACAATCTCCTTTGTCAGTGCTTAAAACTCTCATTCTGGTTTTCAAATCCTTCCATGGCCTCACCCCTTTCTATCTTTGTAACCTCATCTACCCACACAGTCCTCCAACATGGACAAACAGGAGGCTGGAAGAACATAGCAAGCCAGGCAGCGTGTGGAGGAAAGGAGCAGTCAACGTTTTGGGTAAGGGTAACCTTGAAGAAGCGAAATAACCAAAATGTTGACAGCTCCTTTCCTCCAGATGCTGCCTGGCTTGCTGTGTTCTTCAAGCCTCCTGTTTGTCTACCTTGGATTCCAGCATCTGCAGATTTTTTGTCTCCAATCCTCTGAGATACCTGCATTCTACAGTTTTTCCGTCTTATTTGTCTCCGATTATATTTGCTCCACTGTTGGTGACTATACTTTCAGTGGAAAAGCCCTAAGCTCTGGAATTCCTTCCCTAAGACTCTCAGCTTCTTGATCCTTCTCTTTTCCTTTCATCCAATCTAGACATCTACCTCGTCCACCTGACTTAATATCATCATAGAGTCATACAGCACCGAAACAAATCCTTTGGTCCAACTGGTCCATGCCGACCATAATCCCAAACTAAACTTGTCCCCCTGCCTGTGTTTCGCCCAAATACCTCCAAACATTTCTTTTTCATGTACTTGTCTAAATGTCTTTTAAATGTTGTAACTGTACCCACATCCACCACTTCCTCTGGAAGTTCATTCCACACACAAACCACTCTCTGTGTAAATAAGGTTGCCCCTCATGTCTTTTTAAAATCTTTCTCCACTCCCCTTAAAAATATGCCTCCTAGTCTCGAAATCCCCCATTCTAAGGAAAAGGCTCCTACTATTTACCTTATCTATACCCCTTATGATTTTATAAACCTCTGTGAGGTCACCCTTCAACCTCCTATGCTCCAGTGAAAAACATTCCAGCCTATCCAACCTCTCCCTATAATACTAACCATCCATTCCTGGTAACATCCTGGTAAACCTTTTCTGAACCCTCTCCAGGTTAATACTTTCTTTCCCGTAACAGGATGACCAGAATTGGACACAGTGTTCCAGAAACAGCCTCTCCAACATCCTATACAACCTAAACATGATGTCCCAACTCCTATACTCAAAGGCCTGAGCTTATGGTAGCTCAGTGTCAAAACGTATTTGATAGGGAAGGCAATGGCTTACTGCTATTAACACTGGACTATTAATCCAGAGACAAAGGTAATCTTCTGGGAATCCTGGTTTGAATCCTGCCACGACAGACAGCAGAAATTTGAATTCAATAAAAATATCTGGAATGGTACCACAAAACTGTGTCCAATTGTTGGAAAAACCCATCTGATTCGCTGATGTTCTTGTGGGAGGGAAATCTGGCCTATATTTGGTCTACCAGACCATGTCTCTCAACTGCCCTCTGGATCCACCCACATTCTGTGAATAAAATAAAAACTCTGTGAAGTGTCCTGGAATGATTTGCTCTGTTAAAGGTGCTATATAAATGCAAGTTGTTGAGCATGGAGTGAAGTCCTACCCAGTTCTTACCTGAGGGTTACATGGGTCCTGTACGAAAGTTGCAATGATTAAAGATATGGGATCTCCCTTGACAAAAGGCCTTGGGCTGTGGAGGGGCCAGTTCCAACCATTACCGTTGCTAGCCATCGTGGATCCTGAGAATGTGCCCATAATGATGCCAGTGCTCCCAGGCTATTTAAAATAAGGGATTTCCTGTTGCCCCTTGGCATTGCTGTACCCCTACCCCCCTATTCTGGATGGGTCCTGTAATTGTGGTGTTCACATTCTCCGGATTAGTCAGAGATGGCTAATAAATGCTCGCCAAAACCAGTGACACCCACATCCTGTGGACAAACAAGTTTTCATAAAAAGCTTCACCAATTCTAGTGTTATGAAGTTGTGTAGAGTATTTCATAAACTGGAAGGCAGGAAGTTAGAATTTGTTGGTAAAAATGACATTGGGGAAAAGCAATGCATGGTCCCTTTAAGAGATTGTGCTTTAACTGTGCTTGGAAGTTTACAAGTACTGTACAGACAGCCCCAAAATTGAAACAAGTGTATCAAAAGGCCTTACAGTTGGCCGCCAAAACAGTAGTTTTGTTTTGGTAGTAAGACACCAAGTTTGAATTTAGCCAATTAATTTAAACCAAGCACCTAGATACAGAAAACCAACTGAATTTAAAACTCTCTGATGAAGGGTCTAGGCCCGAAACGTCAGCCTTTCTGCTCCTATGTTGCTGCTTGGCCTGCTGTGTTCATCCAGCCCTGCACCTTGTTGTCTCGGATTCTCCAGCATCTGCAGTTCCTACTATCTCTGAATTTAAAACTGATGGTTTTGACGATCTGAAACCAATCATTTTATAAGAAATTGATGTGTCATAGTGGGGTATAAAAGACAAGGGATGTTGAAACAAAAACAAAGTTGCTGGAAAAGCTCAGTGGGTCTGGCAGCATCTGTGAAGGAAAAAGCAGAGTTAACATTTCGGGTCCGGTGACCCTTCTGAGAATTGAGTTCTGAGGAAGGGTTACCGGGCCTGAAATGTTAACTCTATTTTTCCCTTCACAGATGCTGCCAGACCTGCAGAGTTTTTCCAGAAACTTTGTTTTTGTTCCTGATTTACAGAATCCACAGTTCTTTTGGTTTTTAAGGGTTTTTGAAAATTGGGGTGAGAGCCAACTGTTATCTGAAGGGAAAGCAAAACCTGCCACCTGAGAAATAAGCCCCGAGCTCTCAGGAGAAATCGCTAAGCTCTCTAAGAAAGCACCATCTCTCCGAAAAAGGTGCCGCAGCATTTTAGCTCAAAGTCCTCATCAAAGAAATTACAGAGAAAAACATCCCTGACAGCTGAATCAGTGGAAGAAAGGTGTGTGTGGCACAAAGAAGAAGGCAGAGCATTCCAGAAGGCACAATCTATGTGAATTTGGAGATGTTAAGTATTAACTTATTGTTGTCTTTTAATTGGGTTATAAATGGGACTTGTGTTTATTTGGAGATAGCAAGAACTGCCAATGCTGGAGTCAGAGATAAGACAGTGTGGAGCTGGAGGAACACAGCAGGCCCGGCAGCATCAGAGGAGCAGGAAAGTTGACGTTCTGGATCGGGACCCTTCTTCAGAACAGCATTCGACTGGAATTTAGGCCAGTTCAGGAGTAGGTAGTAGTCTAGTCGGGTATTGTTCGGTTTGTTAGTAAGTCTGTTAATTTGTTCACTGTTAGGATTAAATAAATAAATTGTCGCTTGTTATTTATAAAGTGGATATCAGGGATTTTCTTTCATTTAACCACTCTTTTAACAGATTATAAAGGTGAAGTGAGCTTCTCTAGGTGTTTTGGGTTAATTGTTAGAAGAGAACTTCTATTGCCCACCATAACAGATTGGGGCTTGTGTTTTGTTTTATCTGTCAGAGGGGTTCAACTTTCCCCTTCTCTGTTACACTACCCCTACTCAACACTTTTTGGTTCCTGATGCATTGTGTTATTTTATTTTTATTTCAGGTGTGCCACCACACCCAACTTTGACAAGGATGGACAATGGGGTTATTGTGAAGCGATCCAGCCACTAACACATGGTATGACTGCATTGTCGTTTTGTTGATTCACTTCTATTAAAGTCGCGCCTACGTTGAACACCGGCATTCCATCACAGAATAAATAAAACCTTCAACTTCATAACTGCAACCCCCTCGCAATTTCTTTCTAAATCTGCTTCAGAACAAAATTCTACCGGAATTAGAAAGACAGGGGGAAGGACCATGAGATTGACTTGTAATTTTCAGGAGTTAAACCATAAGAAAACAAACAAGTATTACAATCTTCCAAGGGAATGGTAGCATATTCACCAGAAGGAATAAATTAGCCAGAGTTAGTCCAGACTGGAGGGTTTTTTTTTACATGAAGAGGCATGATAGTCTACAGGTTATATTGCTGGCCTAATGATGCAGAGGAAATGCGTTTAAATGTGGGAGGCACGGTCACTCGGTGGCTAGCACTGCTGCCTCACAGCATCAGGGACACAGGTTCGATTCCAGCCTCGGGCAACTCTCTGCATGAAGTTTGCACTTTCTCCCTGTGCCTGCGTGGGTTTCCTCTGGGTGCTCCGGTTTCCTCCCACAGTCCACAGATGTGCAGGCTAGGTGGGTCGGCCATGGGAAACACAGGGTTGCAGGGGTAGGTTGGCCTGGATGGGATGCTGTTTGGAGGGTGGCGGGGCCAATTAGTGTAGGGACACAGGTTGAAGGTGCCGGGGAGGGGAAGTTTAAAAGATAGATGTGCAAGGCAAGTTTTTCACACCAAGGGTGCTGAGTGCCTGGAACATGCTGTCAGAGGAGGTGATGGAATCAGACACAATAACAGCATTTAACAAGCACCTGGATGGGTACATGAGTAGGAGGGAAATAGACAGCAACGGATCCTGTAAGTGAAGATGGTTTCAGTATGGAAGGGCATGTGCCACATGGGCTTGGAGGGCTGAATGGCCTGTTCCTGTGCTGTATTGTTCTTTGGGTCAGTGGCGACTCAATGGACCAAATGGTCTGCTTCCACATTTTAGAGATTCTCTGATTCTATGAAATCTGACCAGGACGCTCTGGCTTTAACTTAGACATGATTTGACTACAAAGCTGTCAGACCACTGTCAAAATATCACTGGGACAAGCTTCCCTCCAGGTCACGTACCATCCTGACTGAAGAGTTGCTGTGTCAGAATCCTAGAAACTCCCTGCCTCACAATACTAAGTGTGCAACATCAATTGTAGCAATTCGGGAAGGCTGCTTACACCGTCTTTTCAACAAATGCTGGCCGGTGTCTCACATCCGAGAGAGGAACAATGTCTGCTGTCCTTCCCCTGGTCTGGACTGCATGTGACTCCAGTCTCACAACAATGTGGTGGTTGAACCTTAACTACAACCTGGCAAGTGATAGTCAAGTGGGTCACTCAGTTGTATCAAACTGTAACACTGCAGTTCCTCAAAAAACAGGAGTGACACCCATCTTCCTGGGGTATACTAAGCGTCAGTTAAGGGAATGTTGGTGTTGTCCGTATCCCAACAAAACACAGAATAAAACCATTTCTATGTACGTGAGTGGATGACTATAAGAAACGCTACATCAAAGTAATGGGAATGTGCTCATGGGGTGTTACTGGCTGGGTCAGCATTTCTTGCCCATCCCTAGTTGCCCCCTTGAGAAGGTGGTGGTGAGCTGCCTTCTTGTGCCGCTGCAGTCCACCTGCTGTAGGTAGGATTTAGGAATTTCAGGATTTAGAATCATATTTCCTTTGAAAAGAAACGAAGTGTTTGAGACAATGCAAAATATTGAGGGTATTCAAAGAGTAATTTTGATGCCATGAAGAGAGAATGAATCCCTATGAAGGCAGGAATCATCATTAGGGGAGGTGATGGCCTAGTGGTATTATCATTAGACTATTAATCCTGAGACCCAGATAATGTTCTGGGGGCACAGGTTTGAATCCTGCCATGGTGGATTTTGAATTCAATAAATATCTGCAATTAAGAATCTAATGATGACTGTGAGTTGATTGTCGATTTTTGGAAAAACCCACCTGATTCACTAATGTCCTTTTGGGAAGGAATCTGCTATCCTTACCTGGTCTGGCCTACATGTGACCCCAGACCCACAGCAACGTGGTTGACTCTGAACTGCCCTCTGGGCAGTTAGGGATGGACAATAAATGCTAGCCTAGCCAGCAACGCCCTCATCCCCTTATTGAATAAAAAGAATAAAAGGGTCTCTCTGGAGGGAGCAGATATTTATGAACTGCTTTGTCCTGGATGGTGTTGTTGGAGCTGCAGCCATCCAGACAAATGGAGAATATTCCATCACACTCCCTGACTTGTGTGTTGTAGATGGTGGACAGGATTGGGGGACTTAGGAGGTGAGTTACACGCTACAGGACTCCTAGCAGATCCCAGTGCAGTCACAATGGGCCAAATGGTCCCCTTCTGCATTGTAACACATCTATGATGTATTTCGCAAAGAATGACCAGGGTCCTTGGCAGAGAGGGAAGAGGAGAAGATTGCATAAAAATGTAAAGTACTAAAATCCTGTTATGTATTTTTACTGTGCAGTACCATTAGGTTTTACACCACTGAGTAGGCGTTTTAGCCAAATGTGCCTTTATCGTTGAAATATTTTTAATTCTGTTTGAAGTGCTATGTTCATTCTATTCTGACCTCGTCAGTAACTTGTTTAACAGATTATTGTGGAAGCGACCCCTGCTGGCACAGGGCTGCCTGTATCAATATTCCCCGTAACAACTCCTACCAGTGTATCTGCACAGAGTCTTTCACAGGGAGGCACTGTGAGAAAGGTAGGTGATAAAGACAATCTTATTTTTACAACGAAACACTAAATAAGATCCTAGAATGAGTAAACCAGACACAGTTCCAGGCAAAGGTGTTGGAGGCAGCTCACTAGATTGATACTAGAGATGTGGGGTTTGCCATATGAAGAGAGATGGAGCAGATTTATTCCATACTCTTTTGGAGATTAGAAGGCTGAGAGGGATCTTGTTGAGGTCTACAAGATGCTAAAGAGGATTGACAAAGTAAATGCAAACAGGATGTTTCCTCAGAGATAGTAGGAACTGCAGATGCTGGAGAATCCGAGACAACAAGGTGCAGGGCTGGATGAACACAGCAGGCCAAGCAGCATCATAGGAGCAGAAAGGCTCATGAGGATGTTTCCTCATGTGGGGCAACCTAGAATGAGAGGTCATAGTTTTAGGATAGATTTAAAACAGAGATGAGGAGGAATCACTTCTCTCAAAGTGTCAGGAATCTGTGGAATTCACAATCTCAGAGTTTGGCGGATGCTGGGACAATGAATAAATTAAGGAGGAGATAGATTTTTAATTAATAACGGGTTGAAGGGTTATGGAGAGCGGGCTGAGATCAGATCAGCCATGATTGTATCAAATAGCACAGCAGACTTGAGGGGCTGAATGGCCTCCTCCTGCTCCTAATACTTAGATTCTTATGCAGAACACCTCAGTCCATGCAGCCCACTCACCCACTGAGTCCTCTTGGTGGACCTTTGAAACCTCGGAATGTTATTTGATGGGAAGAAGCTGTAATTCCATTTAGAAGCTAAGATCAGCCTTGATCTAATGGCCTGGCAGAGCAGACTCAAAAGATTTGAATTCCCTACTGCCATTGGAACTTTCCCATGGGAAGCCATTAAAGTTTCTTGCTTGACTACCCTGTCCATAAGGTTTAGGAACAGAAGAAAGCCATTCAGCCCATCAAGACTGCACCATCCTTCATTGAGATAATTACTGCTCTGACAATAGCACTGGATCCTCATTTGTTAACTTCAAGTCTCTAAGTCTGAAGGGTGGGAATTGAGGGCCTGGCCCAGAAAATTGGATCTTACTATCTAAGCTGTGCAGTGTTGAAGGAGAAATGTGGTTTTCCAGCTGTCCCACCCTTTGGATGACATTTGATTACCATCCATGAAGGGGAGATCACGCCTGACAAATTCGTTAGAATTATTTGAGGAGGTAAAGAAGATAAAGGAGAACCAGTAGCTGTAATATATTTGGATTCTCAGACACGGACAAAGACGTTTGATAAGATACCACACATTAGGCTGCTTAATACGATGAAAACACATGGTGCTGGAGGTAGCATATTAACATGGATAGACAACTGGCCAATTGATAAAAGATAGAGAGTTGGGATAAGGGGATATTTTCAGAATGTACTGTTCAATAAGAAACAGATTCAATAATAGCCTTCAAAGGAGAAGCGGATAACCACTCGGGAAAGAAATTGCAGGGATAGGGGAAAAGGCCGGGAAGTTGAAAGATTATTTTTGAATGTTTGAATGTCTGCGCAGTTCTTCCACTGTGCTGTACAATTCTATCAGTCTGTGATTTCATAAGTGATCTACTTGCCTTTATATTTAGAGAAGTGCTTTGAAAGGCAGCACCTGAAATATTACGACATTGGAGAGACGTGGATGCGAAGTCTTCATGGTGACGTTGAGAAATGCATTTGCACCGAGGGTGGGATTCATTCTGAAACTGTAAGATCCAGAGGTAATGGGAAAACCTTTTACTTCACTATGTAGTAGTACCGGATGATTGAGGAGTGGCAAATGCCATTCCCTTGTTCAAGAAAGGGAATAGGGATAATCCTGGGAATTATAGACCAGTCAGCCTTACTTCTATGATGGGCAAATTATTTGAGAGGTTGCTGAGAGATAGTATTTATGATTATTTGGAAAAGCACAGTTTGATTAGAAATAGTCAGCATGGCTTTGTGAGGGGCAGATCATACCTCACAAGCCTTATTGAATTCTTTGAGGATGTGACAAAACACATCGATGAAGGTAGAGCAGTGGAAGTGGTGTATACGGACTTTAGCAAGGCATTTGATAAGGTTCCACATGGTAGCCTTATTCAGAAAGTCAGGAGGCATGGGATTCAGGGAAATTTGGCTGTCTGGATACAAAACTGGCTGCCCAATAGAAGATAGAGGATAGTAGTAGATGGAAAGTATTTAGCCTGGAGCTCGGTGACCAGTGGTGTTCTGCAGGGATCTGTTCTGGGACCACTGCTCTTTGTGATCTTTATAAATGACTTGGATGAGGAAGTGGAAGGGTGGGTTAGTAAGTTTGCCGATGACACAAAGGTTAGTGGAGTTGTGGACAGCGTGGAGGGCTGTTGTAGGTTGCAACAGGACATTGACAGGATCAGAGCTTGGCAAAGAAGTGGAAGATGGAATTCAACCCTGAAAAGTGTGAAGTGATTCATTTTGGAATGTCAAATTTGGAAGCAGAATACAGGGTTAATGACAGGATTCTTGGCAGTGTGGAGGAACAGAGGGATCTTGGGGTCCACATCCATAGATCCCTCAAAGTTGCTATCCAAGTTGATAGGGTTGTTAAGAAGGCGTACGGTGTGTTGGCTTTCATTGGCAGGGGAATTGAGTTTAAGAGCCACGAGGTTATGTTGCAGCTCTATAAAACCCTGGTTAGAATATTGGAATATTGTGCTTAGTTCTGGTCGCCTCATTATAGGAAGGATGTGGAAGCTTTAGAGAGAGTGCAGAGGAGACTTACCAGGATGCTGCCTGGACTGGAGGGCAGGTCTTATGAGGAAAGATGAGGGAGCTAGGGTTTTTCTCATTGGAGTGAAGAAGAATCAGAGGTGACTTGATAGAGATTTACAAGATGATGAGGCGTAGATCGAGTAGATAGTCACAGACTTTTTCCCAGGGCTGAAATGACTATTACGAGGGGGCATAATTTTAAGGTGATTGGAGGAAGGTATAGGGGAGATGTCAGAGGTAGGTTCTTCACACAGAGTGTGGTGGGCGTGTGGAATGCGCTGCCGGCAGTGGGAGTGGAGTCAGATACTTTAGAGACTTTTAAGCGACTCTTGGATAAGCAAATGGAGGATAGTAAAATGTAGGGTATGCAGGGGAGTTTGATCTTAGGATAATAGGTCGGCACAACATTGTGGGTCCAAAGGCCTGTACTGTGCTGTACTGTTCTATGTTCACATGAAACTTGAATATTGATGCAAAATAAAGACATTACATTGAAGCTCTTCATCTTGCACTTATTAGGACAGAATCTCAAGAATACCATATCACAAAAGAAACAACATTTTATGGCCCATGAGAACAGGCTACTGATGGGTTGACAAGTGGAATCTGATTGGTAGAGGTATTGCTATGGAGAATGTACTAGTAAACAGTTAACTGTCAATTTTGTTTCAATTTGAACGAGGCAAATAGAGTCTGATTGGTCAAGGCATTGCTATGGGGAATACACCAGCCAAAGAGACTCCCTTAAGCTTTCATTTAGTTGGAAAACGCCAAATTCAAATCAACGAAAGCTTCTGGGACACCCATTCCCTATGGTACTGCCTTGACCAGTAAAAGTCTGCTAATCAACCAGTGTCCTTTTCTAAATACAGTATAAATTGTTGTTCCCTTTAAGATTTTGTGTTCTTGCAATTTTTTCTTGATCAGTACAAGGTGAAAAAGTCTGACAGCCGTCCCCTTTTCTCAGCAATTCCCAAGTTCTGTACCACAAAGCCACTCTTAACCTGTAACTGTGTTCCCTTTTCCACTGCGGGCCGCTTATCGCCAGACGAGATAGGTGATCCAACAGGGCACACAGCCTTTTGGTTTTGGGTTGGAGACAAGTGTTGATGACCAGGGTTGAACTGTGGAGATATGAGGCTGGTGTTTTTATCCATTGTCATGGATCAGGGACTGTTCTTGCAAACTACTTTGGCTGGATAGTGGCAAACTGGAGGTGGAATAAAGTTTGCCATTTCTTCTGATTGACAGCTTGCGGGACCAACCCATGCCTTCACGGAGGGACCTGCCATGAGGCGGAGGGCAGCGGTGAGAGTGTGTGTGAGTGCAGCCAGAATCACGTTGGGGAGTTCTGTGAAATAGGTGAGAGCATGCGGTGGGAATGGTACCTTTCATTCATCCTTCCCTCCCTCAGTCCGCTGCACTTGCGTTCCAATTTGTTCTCAATGATGGTCGGTCATCAATTTCTCCTCTCGATATTGATGCAGTCTTGCCCCATAAACACAGAAAGCCTCTTTAAAACTGTTCCTGCTCCACTGCTCACACCGCAGAAACGACCTGCCCTTCAGGCGAAATGCCTTAAAGAAACAAGATCCCAGATTTCACTGACAGGTAAAACTCTTCCTACTCTCCTTTGAGACAGGTAGCACCATGGGATCTTTTGCTGCAAGGGCAGTTTGCACCTCTGGCAGGGTGGCACTCCCTCCGTGCTGCACCGTGAGTCAGCCAGCATTACAGTCTGGTGTTGCCAGATTAGGCTACAAACACACAATTTGCTCATTCAGAGGTGGAGATACCAAATGCCCTCTAAAATCGGCATTGCCATAGTGGGGAAGAGGATCAGCTCCAGCCTGAGATGAGTATGGGTTTATCTGCTGCCCGAGTGGGTTTCCACAACACGGTCTAGCGAAGGAAATCGGACACCACGGGACAAAGGCCATTTGGCCCATCCTGGCCATGATGGACATTTCAAAAAGCAAGACCCACTCTTTGCTTATTGTCTGCTATCCCACAGTTTCCCCACCATCCTTCCAAATCTGATAACTTCTCTTTAAATAATTTATCCTTTCATGGGATGTGGATGTTGGTGCAAGGCTAGCATTTGTTACCCTTCCCTAAATGCCCTGGGACTGAACGACTTGCTTGGCCTTTTAAGAGGGCAATTAAAAGTTGCTGTGGGTCTTATGAAAGTGAGTGAGCACTTGAAACATCACAACATTCAATCCCTTAGGCTAAGGGCTGGAACGTGGGAGAAATGCAGATAGGACGGTATAGACTCGATGGGCTGAAGGGCCTCTCCTATACCATATGACTCGATGTCTCTGTAACTTGTAGGTCAGAGCGGCTAAGGATTTCCATTAGCAAAACAGTTGGGTTTTTTTTAATGACAATCAATGGTTATTCTGGACTAGCCATCACTGAGGGGAGTTTTCAAATCCAGTTTAATTGCACAATTAAATTCTGAGGAAAGGTCACCGGACCCAAAGCGTTAACTCTGTTTTTTTCCTTCACAGATGCTGCCAGACCTGCTGAGCTTTTCCAGCAACTTTGTTTTTGTTCCAGTTTAATTGCATTTAGATTCCACCAGCTGCTGTGGTGGGATTTGAACCTGTGACATTAGCCGACACTATCTACATCACCATCTTCCATACTCTTAGAAATGTGACAAATTATGTGTAAATGATACTCTCAACACTTCCATTAAGCCAGTAGCAGACCTCCCGTGGAATCACTCGTCGTGAGCCAGGGCATAGGCTCCTCTATAACTGCTCACCCTGAACTACTTCCAACATAAACATTTAGACAAAATGATAACATACTGGGGATAATCAGGTGTAGAGCTGGATGAACACAGCAGGCC